CATCAGCCAGGATCCCTGATTCTTAGCTCTTCCGTTTCTGATATTTTCGATAACAGGTGGGTCGGCCTTTGTCGCCCTACCATCGCTGGAGAATAACACTCTTGTTATAACTGTGAAAGGTTGGATCCAAGAGTCATTTCATAAGTAGTCCTGACCAGGACTGTTGTTGACAGTGACTGTGCGGTAGTCATCTTCAGAGTCAAAGTGAGTTGTATCGCGTCAGTTGATGATATTAAACTCTAGTTATCGACCTGATTGGTCAATAAAGTCGCGATGTTATTGGTCTTTCCTCAGTTAAGCCGTGATGTTCTTGGCTATGAAGACTCGTAATGTCATTGGTGCGTTTCGATACGTCACAGTTACAGTTAAACAGTCCTCTATTGTTACTCAAATTGTCGGTTGTCCAGTCATTCTCTCGTAGTTGAATCCGTCGATATAGAGCTTAACCAACGACGACGGCGATGGCAATCAGAACGGCAAAAAAGCACTAGGTTTAGATTAGCAAAACAACAATTTTGCACGTGCATCACGCTCTTTTGTACATTTCTTTGCCGTCACTGCACGACTACAACGTGAAAGTGCCTATTTTGCCGAATGACGGGAACACAAGACAAGAACTTTCATTTTCTTTTCCTGAACTTTGATACAGTCCTTTAGAATTCAACTCCAAAAACATTTGCTAACATTTGACGAATTGAACGAGATGGAATAAGCGCGATAAAGTTTGAGGAAGAGCGAATTCACTTTTTAAGTGACTTTTTCGTAACCGTTGCCGTCGTTGTTTGCATGGTGCCGGTAACTGTTCATGACTACGATCCAGTACCGTTTATTCTGAGTTAGTAAACTAGCTTTCTAAATAACAACCGGATAATAACAGTGCCGTAGCCAGACCAAACGGCCAACTGAGGCAGGGGGGAGTTGCTAGGGGGGTTCGGGGGCATGCCCCCCCGAGAAATTTTGAACTTTAGTCTCTCGGAAATGCGATTTGCAGCGTTTTCTGCGTTTTCAGTATTAATACGGCGAAAATTTTGGTTATATATATATATTTTTTAACTGTTATATTTTGGCCACGACATCTTTTCTGAGAGGTTCCGATGATCGCTTATGTAAAATAAAAATAATCGGCGAAATTCGTCAAAATTTTACCGAGGCGAGTGCCTCAGTTGGCCTCATACTAGCTACGGCGCTGAATAACTGAATGTTTTTAACTAAAACATGTCCACAATTGCGTTGATAATTCACTTCAGCTATGTGTTACAATATGTGCAAGAGACAATTGTTTTCCAAGGCTTTCCCAAAGAGCATCGTTTTGAAGAAAAACTTGAACGACGAGCTTTCCTTCTCCCCGTCCCCATCTGCCAGGATCCTAAAAAGGGTGTGCGGGGAGGGGAGAGAGAAAAGTTCGCCTGCGTCGTTTTCAGTTGTTCTTGGAAATTTTACGTCCTGACAGTTGTTACAATAATATTTCGAATACCGATGCAAAATGTTTCTTTTTACTTGTTTTCAGGCTTTTTTGACAAGAAACTGGGTTAAAATGAAAGCCTTAAATTAACTGCTATAATTCTTTCAGTTCGTTAAAGTTGTTAATAAAGTATACAAATTTTCCTTACCTAGCTTTACCTTTTACTCAGACGAAATGAGGCACAACCAGTATCTGCTTCTATGTCGATCCAGCGACACAGTGTTCGTTTTTATTGAACACAGCAAGTTCCCCGTTGCTAATGGTTTTATGCGTGGTTAATGAAATCATCCGTTTTTTCCCTAGTGTCGCGTGCAAATGCCATATAGACTGGCAGGTAAAGAGGTTGAGCAATGATGTTCATTAATCTGAAACCTATGCCCTAGATAGATCAGCCAGCTAAGAAGAATCAATTAAGTTAAGAGATTCGTATTCAACAAAATTTTTCCGAACTTTACTTTTTTTTACAGGCCAGTCTGCGAGCATAGTCCACATTTGCCACCCACCTATATTCAGGAATGAGTAGAATAATTTTTTCGTGAGACTTCCTTAGAGAAATTCTCTGGCCTTGAGTGCTTTTTTCAAATAAATTTTTTGCTATGCGACCTTCAAATATTAAACTCACTTCCAAATAGATTTCCGTGAATCAAACTCGCATGCTCACAGCAACAACAATTTGTATTTAATAGTCTGACCTATTATCGGTTTATTTATCATTCGTCTTTTTCTTCTACTATTATTATAATTATTTTTACTCAGTGGTTTTTCGATTTTTTCAAATATTTGGTGGGTCATCGTGAAAGTGTATTGGCTAACTTAAGATGAGCTCTCTCATACATGTTCTCTTACGTGATCAGACAAACGCGCTGCTGGGCCAAGTTTGGCAGCAACGTTTATTGGCCATTAGAACCAATCCAGCGCCGCCTGCTTAGTGGTTAGTTCAACTGGATAAGCGCCGGTCTGCCGAGCGGAAGGCCGCTGGTTCACATCCCGGCCGGATCATCACTCAGGGTCTTTAAATAAGTAAATGAATTCCCAGGCATTCTAACATAATTTTCATGCGATGAATACGAAAGTAACTCAGTAAATAGCCTTTCATTACAGAGAAGTTGATTAGCGTTTCATAAAGGGACCTATTTCTTGGTAAACCATTGCGTCTCTTCATCCAATCAACCCTTACTCGAACCGGCTAGTCGGTTGACTTATTCATATTTTGGAGTGAGCATCCTCGCCTTTTTATATGAAACTTCCTTGTTAATTCTTGTCTTCCCTTTACATCAACGATACCTAAGACATAGAATTTTCTTCTTCAAATAAATCGGATATCCTTTTCCTGGGCCCAGTTGTTCGAAGGCCGATTAGGGTTTAACCCGGGTTTCTTTTTCTTGTGTTCAAAAGCATTTTCTCGGATAATTTTCTCTGTTATTTTTGGGGGTTCCAATCATCAACTTGTAGACAAAAAGAATTCAAGCTGAAATGCTTTTAAGCTTTCAAATCTGAATTCAAAACGCGCACTAACTCTCGGTTATCTAAACCCAACTTTCAACAACTCGACTCTCCGGACGAATTTCAGCCGGTTGAAGATTCGTACTTTTAGGTGTTCCGTTCACGCGGACCCACCTTAATATACCGTGCAAAAATTTAGACACGTAATCTTCCTTGTTAATTGTTGTCTTCCCTTTACAGCAACGATACCTAAGACGCAGATCTAGAGTTTTCTTCAAATAAATCGGTTATCCTATGCCTGGAAATTGTAAATGCAGCTCCAAGCTCGCCCAACTCCAACCGAAAGAAAGCCTGTGACACCGGACGAACAGTCGTTCAACCGGTTGAAAATTCCTACTTTTAGGTGTTCCGTTTACCGCGAACCACCATAACCGCGTGCAAAAACATAGACAAGTAGCGTTTAAAGAAAATTGGAACGCCAAAACCGAGGTAAAATTTAAAGGCAGTACGGTCGAAAATTTTACCGGTGCGGTGTGATTACCATTAAGTTTGTTGTGCGACAAAGGCGTGGTTGCGTGGATGCGTGGTAAATCAGCTGGGAGATGCCATTTTGATTTCTTAAAGTAACACTCTATGCATGAGCAGATGGTTAAACCAGCGACACAAGTTAACTGACTCAGCTTGTTTCGTCAGTTTCGTGTGAACGGAGCGAAGATATTTAATTTCTTGATTTCTTGGCGTGGACTAAGCGTCTGGTCAAATGATAAAACACATCAAAAACGAACAAGGGATTTTAGGTAGGGATATCTACATTTTCTTTCTTTTTTCCCTAGAGGAAGTTATAAATCGAGTTGTTGTTTGAATAATTTCCCTCTAGAAGGGAAGTTATTATTTTAAACAAAACTTACGCACCGTTCAACTTCCCAATGCTTTTATGTGTAAAGCAGAACAATTGATAGGCAATACAGTTAGATACACGCAAACTTTGTTTAGCTTCCGGTAAACTTATGGCCGAGAGAGCGCGCCGGTTATCCTCCATTGACTATTATTTGAACTGAGATCCAATCATGTGCACACAGTCGAAGCTGTAATTATTTCGTCAATTCGATCATTAATACGATCCTTAAATTTTGAACAATTTTGTTTGAAGCAGTAAGTCAATGATTTAGTAAAAGTGCATCATACTCGTTTCTGAATGTCCCGATTGTGCTCGTTAACATCTAGAAAATTGCTTTGTTACTGGAATGCCAAAAAATTGCTACCTGCACTTCTAGATTTTTTTATATATAAACGTTAATTAGAAGCTTTATTTTTCGTTCTTCACAATACTTGCTAACGTCGGTCAAGAAAACTAGCTCGGATAAATACATTTTATCGCAAATATGTGTGCAATTTAAGGATACCCACTCTTACTCAGACCAGAACTAGATTATTCCTCTGGGGTTTGATTGGGTGTCACGTGACGTGGTAGCTCCCCTTAGGCCTGTCCCGATTCACCATTTTCACATAGGCCATAATGCATCTTGTTTACCTTCCAAAGTTTTGCATAACCATTGTCTTCGATTTCTCTTGGGCCGACTGTAATAGTAATAAAATATATAGTAATATACTGAAAGATAATTTAATTAATTATGCAAGAATAAAAACAAATGATTGTCTACAACACGTAATATCTCCCAAAACCATTATTTCTTTGTTGTTTGGCTCACTGAGTATTGATCATGATCGCTTACTATAATTCTACGTGGAAGACTAGCCGACTATTTCATGTCCAGTAGCTTCACGGCAGCTGTGGGCCAGACTCTTTTCTTCTTTACGTTAGCAGAAAAACTCCGAATATCATAAACGAAAGGTTGATGCAGACATTTTTAGACTTTGTCACCTGCCGCTCTACACCTTAAATTTCTCGCGCAGTATTTGCTCTTTCGAATAGTAATTTTACAGAAAAAAAGTCGTTGGGTGCCTTCGTAAATTTAGCTTGATAGGACAGCGTATGGGTTCCCTGAGATATATCCAAAATTACTCCCTTAAGTTAAATGATCATTGGCATTGGTGGATGGTAATGTTGGGTGCGATGACAGTTGAGATACTGACAGCTAAATTAAATTTATTATCCAAAAATACAAACAAATGATGGTCTACAACAAGTAATATCTCCCAACACCTTTATTTCTTTGTTAGGTTTGGCTCACTGAGTATTGATCGCCCACTATAATTCTACATGTGAGACTAGCCTATAAAGGCTACAATTTCAGTAGATTCACGGCAGCTTTGGGCCAGACTCATTTTTTCTCCATCTGGCAAACAATATGCCAGGATCCCTTACAGCCATCGTTATTCCAATTTCCTTTGTCACTTCCGCTGACGTACATAACCCCACAGTTCTCATCTCCAGGATGGTTAGGCTCACCGGTAATCCATGCAGAGAAGGTATCGGCCACTGCCGTTCCATCGAGCCATTCAAAGACGTTGTCGCCCTTAGGTGCTATCATTCCAAGCCGTGGAATACCTTTTCCCTCCATCAGACTCAAAAGAAAGGCGTTCTGCTCGGCTGATTTGATGATTGGCAGGGTTGCTCCGAGTTGCTTGCATAGGTAAAATCCCTCAAATGTATTCTTCTGTTCGTGGAGTATAAAGTAGCACTGATTTCCGTTTTCAACCCAGCCCTCTGGACAAGCTAAAGCGAGATACAAAACATAATTTTCCTTGTAAGTCTTTCTAATGAAATAAGGTTTGGAAAACGACGAACCTTGATAAGCATTATTCCTTAATTTTGGTACGAAAATAAAATTTCACATCGGAAGCCGAGTACAAAATTGCTATAATACAATGACGTTCAGTACGTCTCAGTGCCAAGATGGCGTCAAGGTTTTAAACCGGTTATGAATGAAGATGTCAGGTCCCTTAAAAGACTCTTTCGAAAACCTAAAAACACGAAACAGCGCATCGAGAATTCTAACAGGTATTTTTTCGAAAAAGTTAGAGAATAGAGGAAAAAAAATTTAGGCCTTCAGTTTGTTACCCATGATATTAATAGGTGTAAAGGCTTAAAATGTCTTAGAATTTGGACAAAACGGGCGTGTATTTCATCCTATTTCCACTTGTCACTATTTGATTACACAGGCTAATTATTACGAATATAATATAGTATTTAAATTAGGCTAATTATTACTACCTACTATTAGGTTAATTATTACTACTATTACACTAATTATTACTACGCACTTGGCTCCGGGGTAGGCGTAGGTATCAAGCAGCAGCATCTTTTTTTCTTGTACTTCTTCCTTTTCCCACAGGAGTATCCGCATGCTTCATAACCGTTTGGGCAGGGTTTATTTTTACCTTTGATGCACATGCCTCCTTTTCTCGTACAAGAGTTGCCTGTTAAAATATAAATTGATTTCTTATCCCTTTCGTGTACAGTTTGACTGGAGGGGCCGGGGGAGAAGGAGTGGGCCGGGGGGGAAGGAGTGGGCCGGGGGGGAAAGGAGTGGGGAAAGGAGGGGGCCGGGGAAGGAGTAGGCCGGGGGGAAGGAGGGGCCGGGGGAAGGAGGGGCCGGGGGGGGAAAGGAGGGGGGGGAGGAGGGGCCGGGTAGGAAGGAGGGGCCAGGGGAAAGGAGGGGGCCGGGGAAAAGGAGTTGGCCGGGTGGGAAGGAGTGGGCCGGGTGGGAAAGGAGTGGGGAAAGGAGTGGGCCGGGGGGGAAGGAGTGGGCCGGGGGGGAGGAGTGGGCCGGGTAGGAAGGAGTGGGCCAGGGGGAAAGGAGTGGGCCGGGGGAAAAGGAGTTGGCCGGGTGGGAAGGAGTGGGCCGGGGGGGAGGAGTGGGCCGGGGGGGAAGGAGTCGGCCGGGGCGAATTGGCTTGTTGTACGTTATATATCCCTACTTCAAGATTTTTTATTCGAGTTTTTTAAAAAGCCCTTTCAGGAGACAGAACCCTTCCACTTAACGGAAGCTCTTTAATTATTGATTACTCAGAGACATTTTGGCAATTCATTCCCGGCGATTAAAGTTTCTAATTAACACAATCTTTTTATGTCTCTCTTTTTTTCTTCACTGACCAAAGTTTGAAATTAAAACAGTAAACTGATCCTTACGGGAGGAAGTGCATGGCTTATTACCTCGAATATCCCCCAAAAGTGATCACGAGTAGATTACGAGTAGTCCTCATTTTTCCTCAGGAAGAGTTGAGCGAGCGAAACGCGAGCGCATGTGAAAATCACCCCACGCGAGAAAGGCGATACGCGGAAGGGAGAGAGAACGACCGGGGACAAGGAAGCTTGAAAAGTCTAAAATTTGCTCAGTCCTTGAATGAGACGAGGTGAAAATAGGGCTGTTTAGCTTCCTCTCAGGATATTGAAATAGCTAAAAGTGTAAAACTTACATTACTGTTAGTTATCGAAAAAAAAATGTTTTGTTACTATTTCGTGCCATTTCCGAACACTTAACCATCAAAATTTCACCGTGGGAGTAGCCCTCGGACCCCTTCTTAGTATGATTACCTTTTTCGCCCCCTCGGATTGCAAGTTCTGCTTCCTGGTCCCTGGCATAACCCACAGCCAGGAGACTAAGAACCACGATAAGCAACAGGCTTTTCATCTTTCACTCTTCTTTGCCAACAGAATGGTATTAATAGAAACTGAAAACCAAAGTAAAAAATGTCATATTAAAATCTGCAAAGCTGGTCGCACTTTGTGAAAATTATAATTTGCAAGACATCAACCAACGTTTTCAAAGTTTTAAGGTAGCTGTGCCCTCAGATTTCACCAAGAAAGATTATTGCGATTAGTGCTCTCTGATGAAATTTGTATTCATAAACCTACAGGGACATTTTCTGAATGAGTGAAGGCACTAAGAAATGTCTTCAGCAGAGAATTGACCTAAAAAAGCAACTCCTCGTTACATAGTACGTACCTTTCAAAAGTGCTCTATCACAAAACAAACTGTCTCATCCAACTGAAAACTTCTAAACGGGTGAGCGATAAAACGCTCTCACCTGAAACTGAAGTCTTAGACGGATTGACGATTTTAGATTAAAATCTTGATTACGTCTCATGGAAACCAAGAATCAAGGATTTTTACCAAGGAAAAAGAACAACCAATGCATTGACCGCGAACGGGTTAAAACGTTCTAAAATGTGTTTTTCACAGAACAATGCCTTAGCAAAATTAATCTTAATTCTTAACTCAAGACAAAAGCAAGCCTATTAGTAGAATTCAGTGTTGGGGAGCTAAAAATATCATCGTTCACGTACGAAAAACTAAACATTATACACCTTTTAAAAATAATAACAGCCTAAAGAACAATCGACCATACCACTTAACAAAGATGGTAAATATCGAGCAGAAAAATCAAGTAAAATTAGTTCACTGACGTGGTCACGAAATTATATTTCTTTCTTTTTTATATTATCAGAGAAAAAACGACGATGAAGTTTTACGGAACCTTGGCCATTTTGTTTTAGGGTGGCGACAAATAATTATATTAAATCAAGAACATGAAAATCTCAAGTAGCAGTTAAAAATCTATTATACCGATTCACTTACCCGATGAGTTAACGCTGAAGGAGATACCACAAGCTTATGACTTGTTAAAGTACCTGTTTTCTTGCCTATATTTATATGGTCATTTAACAAATCTAATAACCTCTATTCAAGAATTTTGCTAAGAAACGTTTATACCTCAGTAACAATTTAAATTGAAGGATCAAATTTACACAGAAACCAATTATTGTCGAAAATTCGTCCAAAGACCTGATTAATCTTTGATGAATTCTCATAATAGAAGAAGCCTCAAAAATATCATTTTAATTCCGTTGTGTAAGAAACAACCGTCTGATCTGGAAATCGGACAAGACGTCGTCTTTCTAATATAGCTTGTTTCTCTATAAAAAAAAAACAGAATTTGTCATAGACGAGACATTTCCCTTCAAAAAATGAGGCAAAACAAGTAGAAGTCAGAAAGCCGTGGATTTCAAAAATTAACATTTAAATTACCACTAACATTTCTTTACCAAAATCTCCTTCAGCGTAAAAACAATTCGTGACATTGCTCAGAAACTCTTCGGTTCAAAAAAGGAACTTGTTTTTGTCAGAGAGTAATTTCTCTGGATGGCTTATCTATAACTATCTCCTTTCCTTTGTCACAATCGGAATGGCATCAAAGTGGTGAATGTAAAATTTGGCGATTATTTTTTATAAAAAAATTGTTACAAACCGAGCTCTAATAACATCTAAAAGATAATTTTCTTACGAAAGTCTTGTTAAAAACCTTATACTAGAAGGCACTTTAAATATATAACTTTCTTAATAAATGACGCTGTTTCATTTTTTAATAGTTTCAGTGCAGTAGTTTGTCTGATTGTAAACCAGTAAATTCCCACTTCGGTGGATTTCGTTTAATTATTAATAGGTGGCCATGTGATTCGTAGGTTCCTGCCCTTCTGTAAAAAATTATTATAAATTTACATGTAAACTTAAATTTTGAACATTTTTTTTAAGCAGTAAGTCAATGGTTTAGTAAAAGTGTATCATACCCGTGTCTGAATGTCCCGATTGTGCCCGTTAAAAGCTAGAAAATTGCTACCTACATTTCTAGATTTTTTTTATATATAAACGCTAATTAAAAGCTTTATTTTTCGTTCTTCACAATAATTGCTAACGTCGGTCAAGAAAAATAGCTCGGATAAATAAAGTTTATCGCAAATACGTGCACAATTTAAGGATACCCAATCTTACTCAGACCAGAGCAACTACATTATTCCTCTGGGGTTTGATTGGGGTTGACCTATCTGTTAATTCCCGAGCTTCTTGTTTTGTGTCTACTGACACACAGATGTCGTCCATGTACGTGTTCTTTTCTAGAACTTCAGCTGCTTTCGGGTATTCTACCTTGTTCTCGTTGGCTGTTTCCTCAGGGCTATTTGTGCCATGGCGGGCACAAAACAAACTGTCTCATCGAACTGAAAACTTCTAAAAAGGTGACTGCGATAAAACGCTCTCACCTGAAACTAAAGTCTTAGAAGGATTGACGATTTTTAGATGAAAATCTTGATTATGTCTCATGGAAACCAAGAATCAAGGATTTTTACCAAGGAAAAAGAACAACCAATGCTTTGATCGCGAACGGTTTAAAACGTTCTAAAATGTGTTTTTCACAGGACAATGCCTTAGCAAAATTAATCTTAATTCTTAACTCAAGACAAAAGCAAGCCTATTAGTAGAATTCAGTGTTGGGAGCTAAAAATATGATCGTTCACCCCAGTACGAAAAACTAAACATTATACACGTTTTAAAAATAATTTAACAGCCTAAAGAACAACCGACCATACTTAACAAAGATGGTAAATATCAAGCAGAAAAATCAAGTAAAATTAGTTCATTGACGTGGTCACGAAATTATATTTCTTTCTTTTTTATATTTTCAGAGGAAAAACGACGATGAAGTTTTACGCAACCTTGGCCATTTAGTTTTAGGGTGGCGACAAATAATTACATTAAATTAAATCAAGAACAGATGAAAATCTCAAATAGTTCTTAAAAATCTAGTATACCGATTCACGGACTGTGCAATAATTATCAGGAGGGGGGGCTGAAAAACTAGAGGGGGGTGCATTACATAAAATTGCTGCCAAGATAGGGGGGCTCAAAGCAAAATCACTCGTTTGACAGAGGGGGGGGCCTTAAGTTTTATTCGAAATGTAAATGAAATTAAACGCAATAAAAGATTCTCAATACAGGCATCATGATAGACTGTAACAAATATCAATACGAACGGCTGTTAAACGATTATTGAAAATATTCCATCAAAATGAAAAGCAAATTCACAACTGATCAATTTTTAACCCGTCTTCTAATTAATTGAGCTGATCCTGTGTAAAGCAAAAATCATGAACTTGTTTTTCAGCTTCCCCCATAAAACAATGGGAATCAAACAGATCTCGTAGACAAGCTTTGTCGGTTTTTGATGGGAATAAAAGTAATGTTACTTCATCGACTGAATCGATTTGCTGAATTCCATATATATCTGGCTCATAACAAAGTTCAGCATGCTCTCCTCCCAAGGATCTAAATATAATGCAAGCTCTTTTTCGTCTGTTATTTGAAGAGCTCAATCTCCTGTTCTTTGATTTTTTTCTCTGCTCCTTTCTCTTTCTGGCTTCAGAAGTTTTAGATTTTGAGCCAATGTGGTAAGCACCCTGGTACTTAGCAAATGCTTTGTGCTCTCTTTGTGATCTTCAATCAAGTGATCAACATCCTTCTCGATACAATATAAAAGGTATTTACTTAAAGGCACCTTTGGTAATGGTGGCGGTGAGGGGTGGGTGTGTGTGTGGGTGGGTGGGTGGTGGGAGGGGGGTGCGACGTTATTTTTAACATAACAGAGGGGGAGTTAGAACAAAATTTTTTTTGTTTTGGAAGGGGGTACTGTCTAAGTTTTTGCTAGATAACTCTAGTTTTTCAGCCCCCCTCCTCATAATTATTGCACAGTCCCTTACCGGATGAGTTAACGCTGAAGGAGATACCACAAGCTTATGACTTGTTAAAGTACCTATTTTCTTGCCTATATTTATTTATAAGTCATTTAACAAATCTAATAACCTCTATTCAAGAATTTGGCTAAGAAACCTTTATACTTCAGTAACAATGTACTTGAAGGATCAATTTTATACAGAAACCAATGACTGTCGAAAATTCGTCCAAAGACCTGATTAACCCTTGTTTAATTACACCTAATTAATCTTTGATGAATTCTCATAATAGAAGAAGCCTCAAAAATATGATTTTAATTCCGTCAAGTAAGATTATTTGATTACCAACAACTCTGATCTGGAAATCGGACAAGAAGTCGTCTTTCTAATATAGCTTGTTTCTCTATATAAAAAAAAACAGAATTTGTTATAGACGAGATATTTCCCTTCAACAAATGGGGCAAAACAAGTATAAGTCAGAAAGCCGTGGATTTAAAAAATTAACATTTAAATTACCACTAACATTTCATTACCATGATCTCCTCTAGCGTAAAAACAATTCGTGACATTGCTCAGAAACTCTTCGGTTCAAAAAAGGAACTTGTTTTTGTCAGAGAGCAATTTCTCTGGATGGCTCATCTATAACTATCTCCTTTCCTTTGTCACAATCGGAATGGCATCAAAGTGGTGAATGTAAAATTTGGCGATTATTTTTTATACAAACAATTGTTACAAACCGAGCTCTAATAACATCTAAAAGATTATTTTCGTACGAAAGTCTTGTTAAAAACCTTATACTAGAAGGCACTTTAAATATACAACTTTCTTAATAAATGACGCTGTTTCATTTTTTAATAGTTTCAGTGCAGTAGTTTGTCTGATTGTAAACCCGTAAATTCCCACTTCGGTGGATTTCGTTTAATTATTGATAGGTCGCCATGTGATTCGTAGGTTCCTGTCCTTCTGTGAAAAATTATTATAAATTTACATGTAAACTTAAATTTTGAACATTTTTTTTTTAAGCAGTAAGTCACTGGTTTAGTAAAAGTGTATCATACCCGTGTCTGAATGTCCCGATTGTGCTCGTTAAAAGCTAGAAAATTGCTACCTACATTTCTAGATTTTTTA